TGTGGCCATGAGGAACAGCACAATCACTAGGACAGAGGGCTGGCACTGAGCCCTCTATGAGCCAGCACCCAGAGACGCTTGCTTTGCTTTTCAATTTGGTTTCTTGCCTTCAGCAAAGAGAAGGAATGGGATCAAAGTGGTTGGTGCACAAAGTGGGCTCCAGGAGCCCGGCCCCAGCCCTTGAGCAGTAGGGCTCTGAGGTCTACATGCTGGGGCGGCCACTGCCTCCCCCACGAGCCCGCAGGAGGCAGGCCTGTTCTCCCAGGTGGACCTGATGTCTCACATCCAAGGACTAAGTCTTGCTCTCCTGGCACCCTCCCGGCAGTGCCCTACAGATATGGATGCTCTGGAGCGAAGGTGGGTTGCGGGGAGAGGGTTCAGGGCTGTCTTGTCTGTCTGAGAAGTTGTCGCTACACAGACGAGCCCCATTCAGGAGGCTCCCGCTCACCTCGCCTGTGTCCTGGCTGAGAGAAAGGCCGTTTCCTCCTGAGAAAGGCATTTTCTGCTCAGCCGAGCCCCAGGGTCTGCATCTGCTGCGGGGCTTCTTTCTGGTTAGCCGGGGGGTTGGGAGGTGCTGTGTGGACTGTGCAGACCCTCCAGGCCCCGGCTGTACGGCCAGGCCCGGCTTCAGGAGGCTCCCGAGCCCAGGGGGGTGGGTCTTCCCCAGCATCCTTTGGGGCCACCCTTGAGCAGCCCTTCTAGGCTTGGGAAGAAGCTGAGTTCTGGGAAGATGGCCGGGTAAGGGTTTTCTTGAATAGAATCCATTCCTGTCCAGTCAACAAATATTTGAGGCTCTCCCATATGCCAAGGCCTGTTCTAGCTCTGGAAATAGGCGGAACAGGACAGACAAGGTCCTGTCTGCGGAGCTGGCATTCTGGTGTGGGAAACATCAGGGAACAAGTTAAATAAGTAAACAAGACCATTTTCCAGAGAGCACTATGAGGAAAATAAAACACACAATGGCCTAAGGAGCGGGGGAGGGGTGGCTAGTGTGCAATTCATACCTGAGGGGAACCTCCTCAAGAAGGGGAGACTCAAGTGACAGGAAGCAGGCGTCGTGCCAACATTTCGGAAGAAGGTTCCGGGGAGCCAGCACAGCAAAGGGAAGCACCCGGAGGCTGGGAGACATCAGGATCTGCAGAGAGCGTAGTTGGGAGCCAAGAAGAGTCTGAGGAGTACGAAGAGGTGAGGCCCAAATTATGCAGGCCTTGTGGCCGGGCTGAGACATCCCCCGTCTTCCTCCACATGCAGTGGGCGGTCCCAGGAAGTTGAAGTAGGTGAGTGACATGATCCCAGCACATGTTTAATGGGTAACTCGAGCTGCTTTGTGGAGAATGCTTAGGGGAGGGGGAAGGCAAGGAGGACAGCAGGGACACCAGTTAGAGGCTGCTCCAATGGTCCAGGCGAGAGAGCATGGTGGCTGGAACCGGGATATCTGTGGAGAGATGGAGAGAAGGGATGAATTGGGGATATATGTTTGGAATTATTGCCGGCACTTCCTCCAAAAAGAAGCAGGGCCTTGGGTCCCCAGACAAGGCCGGAAGCAATGATGTCACTGTTCTCCTGCTTGCACTGAAGGAGAGCTGGCCCTGCCAGGGCACTGAGACCCTGCCCGGCAGACCCCCATACCATCCTTAGACTCAGGGACCCCTGCAATAGAGGACCCCCTTCATGTTTTCCTCTGGATCCTCCCTTCCTTTGGAGTGAGGAGCTTATAAGGACAAGGAATTTCCTGCTCAAACAACCCTGAGGCTGCTGCCTGGGCCCACATGGGTCATGTTACCAGGCACTTGGCCGTGTGCACACCCTGGTCCAAGAGGAGATGGGAGGGGGCCATTTTCGGTCTGGGCAGTCTCGGAGCCTGTGCTGGGAGCCCACACCCACGTGACTAAGGAACCTTCTGGTGGGGGGTGGCCCAAGGGTGGACCACAGTGCTCCCTGCTAAAAGCTGGTTGGCAAAAGCCTGTGAGGTAGGTTCTTCCCGTCACGTGGAGTGGCCTTGGCCATAGACCCTGCTTCGTCTTTGGATACAGCCTTATCTAGGCCCCTCCCTGGTGATCCCTGCACTCCAGCCGGGCAAACATCTTGTCCTTTGTTACCAGATCATGCCATGCACTCACAGCCTCTCCACCTTTGCACCTGCCGTTCTGTCCACCTATCCTTCCAGCTAATTCCTGTCCGTCCTTCTAAGTGCAGCTCAAGGTCCGCTGTGACAGGAAGCCTCTCCGGCCTCCTTAGTCAGCCTGGGCTGCCATCAGAACATACCACAAACGGGGTGGCTTAAATAACAGCAACCCATGTTCTCACAGCTCTGCAGGCTGGGAGTGTGCGGTGCATGTGCCAGGAGGGTGAGGGCTCTGCTCTCTGAGCTGCAGACACCGCCTTCCCCGCGTCCTCGCGCGGTGCCAGTGCGTGTGCCCGCGGGGCGGGCAGGCAGCGGGAGGGGGAGAGCTCTTCCCCTCTTCTCCTCGGGAGGCTACCAATCCCATCAGAACAGGACACCACCCTTATGACCTCATTTAACATTCATTACCTCGTTAACAAAAAACTGTCTCTGGATACAATCGCATTTGGGGTTAGGGCTTCAACATATGAATGTGGAGTCACACAGTTTAGCCCACGGCACCTCCCCAGAGCCTCACATTCGCCAGGCAGGGTGTCCCATTGTCAATCACACAGCACACCAATCCTGCAGGCCCCATGAGTCTCCGAACAGACCGTGGGTGAGTTCATGGATGACCTCCCTCTGCCAGGCCCTTTCGGTGACTCCTGCTCTTTCGGTGACACCTGCTCTGAGGAGGCCCTCTCTCCCGGCAGCCTGTGATGGCCTGTCTGTGTCCAACCCCAACAGGGCAGAGGCCGCTTCTCACTCATCTCTGGGCACGAAGCACCTTGCTCAGAGCTGGCCCTGTGGGAGAATCCTGGTTCTGCTGTGGACGGACCTGCGCCCCTGGGCGTGGGCCCCCATGAGTGCCTCTTCCATCCACACACACCCTATCCGCAAGGCCTGGGAGCCTCTGAGGTTTCCTCCATCCTGAGAGGAGACGTGCCTGCTGTAACCCTGACAGGAAACCAGGTGTGGACACTGTGAACAGGACACTTCCAGGAGCCTTTCCCCTGCCCCTCCCCAGGGACTGCCATTACTCCTAGCAATGCGGAAAGACTGGGACTCCCCCCCGGGTCTCCCTGAGCTCCACAGGTGCTGCTGGATAAATGGGCCCCCGTCTGGCCAAGAGAGCCGCTCCTCGGCTCCCATAGGTTATGTACTTAATGTATCGAGCTTTACTCCCTGTCCAAAACTATCAAGCTAAAAATATTTTGTGTCTGAGGTCTGGACTGAAAAACGAAGCCGTTGGGTCATTAATCACTGAAAATATGTTGAATAGAACTTGATTAAAGCACAAATTGCTTCTTTACTGTGGCCACAGCGGAAACAGCCGTGTGTTTGGAGCTGGCCTTGAGGGCTCCTGGGAGGGCGGTGGCGCCTGGCCAAGCCGGAAGGCTGCTGCCAGGGAGAGGGTCTGGAAAGCCCAGTGGACACTGCTCAGGCAGACCCCCCTCCAGTGGACACCCAGGCAGCACCAGACTTGAGAGCGAAGTCAAAAGGACGCAGGAAAGGGGGCGGTAGCGGCAGGAGCGACTTTCGGCCCCACGAGGCCCCCTGCAAGCCCGAAGGCCCCCAGGATCCCCACACAGAACTCGCCAGGCCCCGCGTGGCTGGGGGGCTGCAACCCTGAACCCCCTCAGCGGGCAGAAGCGGGCGCGGAGGGGGCACTGCGCCAGAGGGCAGCTGCCCAGGCCGCCTCGCTCCCCAGGATTTCGGGGAACGCAGTGCCCTGCAAACCACGTAGCAAGGTGCTCCCCGTAGGTTCTCCCTGGACATCTCTGCTCCCGCCTCGGGGCCCACCTGAGCAGGGATTAGGGGAGAAGTCAACGGATTCCAACCCGGGTGACAGCCAGCCCGCCTCGGGAACCCCCGTTCAGGAGGCAAGTTCGCCTCCCGCTGCAGAGCGCTCCCCCGCGTCCCAGCACCTTAGCCCCGGGATCCAGCTCCGCCCGACGTGCAGGACACAACTGGCGGCCCCGCACGGGGTAGCCGAGCCGGCCCGCGCGCTTAGCAAGCCCAGCACTCCGGCTGGGAGAAATGACTAAAAAGAAAAAGTTTTCCAGCCCAGGCGGTCAGACCGGACAAGTCCACCAGGCTCCCCGGCCGCGGCCGCCTCCCCTGCCCTCCGCTCCCCGCGGGGTCCTAGTGCCCGGCCCTGCGGAGCCCGTGACATCCCGAGTCCTGCCAGAGGCTGCAGCGCGGGGGGCGAATCCTCTGCACGGATCGGTGGGGTCGCCTGGAGATCCGAGTTAAAGGCGCTAAATCTCCGCGCTCCGGGCCTCCCCACGCGGCGGGGTGCGTTGGGCCTCCCACCCCCACCCCGGCTCCTTCCCCACGTCGCCACCTTCCAGAAACCCCGACCCCGGACAAGCCTGGTTCTGGCTTTTGAAGCCAGCCGGCGCCTCAGCAGCTCGGAGACAGGGACTTGCACTCCACCAACCCCCTGCGCGGCGGCTGGGTGCCGCTGGGATCCCGGCCTTCAGCTGGAAGTGGGTGTCTGGGGGAGGCCAGAGAAGGGGGCCCGCCACCGAACACGTGTGCGTGGGGGCGACAACTCGGCCGAGGGTGGGAGGGAGGCCCGCGTGCGGGTCACGGTTCTGCCCGCGGCTCCGGGGCCAGTGGGCGCCGCGCTCCAGCCCCGCTCCCGTCCGCGCCGCGGGCAGGCCCTAAGACCCAGGAGGCGCCGCGCGCGCCGCCGATAGCCGGACGCTAGAGGGCGACAGCTGCCCCATATAAAGGCGGGAGCCGCGCGGGCCTGGCCATTCGCGACCCGGAGCTGCGCGGGCGCCGGCGAGAGGGGCTCCGGTGGGCTGGGCTGCGGCAGCAGTGGTGCCCGCGCCGCCCGCCCGGAGGCCGCCGAGGCTCGCCATGCCGGGAGGACTCTAGCTGCCCCATGGAGTCGGCCGACTTCTACGAGGCGGAGCCGCGGACCCCGATGAGCAGCCACCTCCAGAGCCCCCAGCACGCGCCCGGCAGCGCCGCCTTCGGCTTCCTCCGGGGCGCGGGCCCCGCGCAGCCCTCCGCCCCACCGGCCGCCCCGGAGCCGCTGGGCGGCATCTGCGAGCACGAGACGTCCATCGACATCAGCGCCTACATCGATCCGGCCGCCTTCAACGACGAGTTCCTGGCCGACCTGTTCCAGCACAGCCGGCAGCAGGAGAAGGCCAAGGCGGCCGCGGCGCCGGGGGCAGGCGGCGGCGGCGGCGACTTTGACTACCCGGGCGCCCTGGTGGGGCCCGGCGGCGCGGTGATGCCCGGCGGGGCGCACGGCCCCCCGCCCAGCTACGGCTGCTCGGCCGCCGGCTACCTGGACGGCCGGCTGGAGCCCCTGTACGAGCGCGTCGGGGCGCCGGCGCTGCGGCCGCTGGTGATCAAGCAGGAGCCGCGCGAGGAGGACGAGGCGAAGCAGCTGGCGCTGGCCGGCCTCTTCCCCTACCAGCCGCCGCCGCCGCCGCCGCCGCACCCGCACCCGCCCCCCGCGCCCCTGGCCGCCCCGCACCTGCAGTTCCAGATCGCGCACTGCGGCCAGACCACCATGCACCTGCAGCCCGGCCACCCCACGCCGCCGCCCACGCCCGTGCCCAGCCCGCACCCCGCGCCCGCGCTCGCCGCCGGCCTGCCGGGCCCCGGGGGCGCGCTCAAAGGGCTGGGCGCCGCGCACCCCGAGATCCGCGCGGGCGGCGGCGGCGGCGGCGGCGCGGGCAAAGCCAAGAAGTCGGTGGACAAGAACAGCAACGAGTACCGGGTGCGGCGGGAGCGCAACAACATCGCGGTGCGCAAGAGCCGGGACAAGGCCAAGCAGCGCAACGTGGAGACGCAGCAGAAGGTGCTGGAGCTGACCAGTGACAATGACCGCCTGCGCAAGCGGGTGGAACAGCTGAGCCGCGAACTCGACACGCTGCGGGGCATCTTCCGCCAGCTGCCCGAGAGCTCCCTGGTCAAGGCCATGGGCAACTGCGCGTGAGGCGCGCCGCGCTGCGGCGGGACGCCCTGGGCCGACCCCCGGCTGGGACCCAGGGAGTCTTTCCGGGTCTCCGGATGGCAGGACTGCCCGAGCCACGCGTGCCAGGACTAGGAGATCCCGCTGCCGCCTGAGAGCCCGGACTGTCTGTCGCGCGTGCCCCTTGCTTTCTTCTGCGCGGGACACGGTGCGTCTGAGATAAAGGGTCAGGCGGTAGTTTCTCCCTGTAAGAGAAGGGCCCGGGTCCAAGCCGGGAGCCTGGCAACTCTAGTATTAAGGAATAACCTTGTGCCTTGGAAATGCAAACTTGCTGCTCTGATTCCTACCAAGTAGGGGGAGCGAATATGTGCCTTGCCATTTTATGTTGAGGGTTCCTGCCTTGGCCCCAAGGCTGCAAGGCTGTGGCAGGCCCCCACGAGAGAGGAGGGGTGCAGGCTTCCGGCTGGAGGAAGGGTCGGGGAGCAGAGATCCCATAAGCCAGTCCCAGCTGCTCCTCAGCTCCTTGTCCTTGGAGAGGAGGAAACGGGGATCTGGGCTTTGTGAACCTAAGGCTGTTCCCCTGGTTCTACATGAAGGTGGAGGGTCCCCAGTTCCTCGTCTCTGACCTCCCAGCCTACAGCAGACTGGGCTTCCAGGGCAGAACTCCCTGGATGGGAGTCACCATGTGACCAGTGGGAGACCTCACCCCCAGTCAGACCAGAAAGCGAGGTGTGGATTGGCCATAAGGACATATGTACATGGGAGTGGTGGCTGGTGGAAGAAGGGGCCTACAGGTCTGGTCTGGGGTTTGGGAGAGGGGTGAAAGGACTCTGGGGCCATCAACCATGTCTGTACTGTATGTTGCCAGCATTGCCATACAAACATGAAGCACAGTCAGCCCATCCCAGAGGGACCCAAGTTATGAGAAGCTTTCCAAATATTTTGCTTTATCAGCCGATATCAACATTTGTATCTGGCCTCTCTGTGTCCCAGTGGTGCCTTGTGCAATGTGAATGTGCATGTCTATGCTAAACCACCATTTTCTTTGGTTTTTGTTTTGTTTTGGTTTTGCTCAGATACTTGCCAAAATGAGACTCTCCGTCAGCAGCTGCAGGGAGGGTCTGCGGCTCTTTCCTTCTGGCTTCGGGATTGCTTTTGCTCCCGGAGGAACCCAAGAGGCGAGATGGGCTTCCCCTTTCCCCTCAGCTAGCCCTGGGGGTGGCTGTGGACCTTGGTCCCCTCTGGCCCCACGCTGCCCGCAGGCTTGTCCCCCCAGAGGCCTGGCTCCAGGTCTGGAGGGGGGCGGCCTCCAGCCAGCACGCAGAGGAGGACAGCTGGGTTCTCCTCTGAGGGGAACGTAGAGTCTCGTGCTAGATGTTTTATGTGTCATATCTATAATATAAACATATCAAAGTAAATGTTGGTGTCTTTTTAAAACCAGGAAGCTACTTCCACAGTCTTCTGTGGGCCAGGTCACATTTGTAAATAATCACAGCGTATGTTCTGGCTGAGACCCTGACTCCCATTCACTCTGTACCATCCTGAGCCCCTCTGTACATTAAAGGGGTGACTTCCCCCCACCAAGGCAAATAAACGGCAGAAAGAGGACAAGGCTCCACGCTCAGCATGCCAGAGCCTGAAGAGCATCTCCTGGTCGGAGACTGTTTGGGGGGCAGGGGGCTCCTGGGACCTGGGTGTGGCCCTTTGGAAGAAGAGAGGTTCGGAGAGGGAGCCCCCTGCCTGAAGGTGCTGCCGCCTCTTTGGGACACGGGCAGGCCTCGGGCAGCACTTCAGGCTCCACACTCACTCCCACACATGCAGAGCTCCGGTCCGGAGCAGCCTCGCCCACACCTGCCTGTGCCGCAGCAGGACCCTGGGTGGGCAGGGAGAGGCCTCAAGCTCTAGGACCGCCCCCCTGCCCCCTGTCTCTGGGCTGTGTGGCTGCAGTCTACTCCAGCAGGGCCCTGAGAGGCAGCCCTAAGACTGCCTGCTCCTCCACCAGCCTCCGCGTCTTCCCTGCCCAGCCCACCCAGAAAGCGGGCCCACAGCAGGCTGCAGTGGGCTGTCTGGCCCTTCCCCTCACACCACCCAGCAAGGAGCCAGCCCACCATCCGTGCTGCCCACTGTGTCCACCCTGCATCAAGCCCCCCCAGGAGGACAGGCACCCCGGCACCCTCTGAGCAGCTGTGATAGCCAGCTAAGGGAGGGGGCACGTCCATGCCTAAAAGAGCAAGGCTGAGAGGAAGTACCCCAGAGGCTAGCAGGCTTTCAGAGTTGACTCTTTGAGGGCAAAAGGCAAAACACTTTTTACCTCCTGTTTCCCACCCTCCACCACAGTGCTCACTTGAGCAGCTGATTGTCTATGCCATTGTGGGCTGCGACGGTTTTGAGAAATTACACATTCTTCTTAAACTCTGAGAGCTTTAGATGAACCTGCCTGTGTGGTTAGTGGAGTGACCTGGCCCCTTCCCACTCGGCTTTCTGTCTTGTGTCTTGCCGCCTCCTCACCCATGGCCGCCCTTGGCAGAGGAAAGGCCATGAGCCCAGTGAGGAGGCGGTGGCCTGCCCGCTGCCTGGGAACCAAGGAGGCAGAGCCCCGCCGCCTGCCTAGAGGCCTGGGGCAGGCCGCGGCTTGCTAGGCCCCAGCAAACCCTCTCTGAGTTCAGTGCTAATTCCAGTTTTTCTTGTTTGAGGGGGCCAAGCCTTGGCTTCCCCCTTTGCCCCCAGAACAGATCCCAGATTGAGTGGGGGAAGGGCACTCCTCCTACCCTCACTCCTCCCTGTCCCCTCCCACGGTCCCATCTCCAGGGATTTCCTCTTTCAAAGCTGTCAGCTATGAAAGGGCACCTTCCTACTGCGGATCCTTAGGTCCAGGGCAGGCTTTGTAGGGGACAAGATGATCCAACCACAGCCAGTCCCAGGAAAGGAATGGGGTTGGCGGTCCCTGTGTTGCCCCCAATTGATAGAGCAACCTGTGGGGGAGTAGTGGGGGAGACCCATGCTCTGTGCTCAGCCAGAGAGGCCCTTGAGGAGAGCCACTCTTCACATCCACTGCTTCCTGCAAACCCTCCACCCCTACCAGCCCCCCCCCCCACACACACACACAGTTCCCCTCCTGACTTCAGCCTCGTGAAGAACTACCCTGTTTCCCCAAAATTAAGACAGTGTCTTATATTAATTTTTGCTCCCAAAGATGCGCTAGATCTTATTTTCAGGGGATGTCTTATTTTTCCATGCGCTAGGTCTTATTTTCGGGGAAACATGGTACTCCAAGTGTCTGGCACCAAACACACCCCAAGTATTTATTGGATGCCAACTGTATACCAGGGCCTGTGCTTAGGACGAGGCACTCAGTTGGGAACGAGCAGACTGGGCTCCTTCTCTTGAAGATCTCAAAGCCTTGTGACACCAGATGTGCTTTAGGGGTGATAAGTGTAATAAGGAGGGGGGGAGAGATCAAAGTGTGAATAGAGGCACCAGGGAAGGCTTCCTGGAGGCAGCAGCCTTGACCCAACGCAGCCATGGACCCAGTGCCTCTGCCTTGCACTCTCCCATGAGAGTTAGCGGGGGCCTTGCCCCCTCGGTGGGCCAGCAGAGCCTGGTGCCCACAGAGAGCACTGTCCCGGGGAGCCAGCCTCCAGGGAAGGAGCAGGGGCAGAAGGAGAAAGGGAGGCGCCTCCTGATGGTTTAGGTTGTCACGAATGTTACCCTTATCTCTTGGATCTCCTGGGAATCTGTGAACATGGCACTGGGCCCTGACACCTGTGATGAGCCACTGGGACTGGTGAGGAGTATCTGCCCCTCCCAGCTCTCCCGCCCCCTCCTTCCCAGGCAGAAACCTGCCAGGCCTCCTCCACGAGCAGCTGATTTCATGGGAGGGGATGGGGCAGCAGCGGGGAGAGGAAGAGGGAGGCCACGCCTGGTACAGGCCAAGAGGGGGCAGAAACCCCAACTTTGCTCAGTCAGAAGGCCCCCGTCCAGGCACCCACAGGCCTCCTGCAGACCTGAGCAGGGTCTGGACAGAGGGTTCTTTCCTATGCTGAATGGTAGGGGTAGGCCTTTCCTTTATGTTCTATTATTTAAATTAAACTAAACCACTAGGACCTTTGAAAGATTTTCCTTGTCTCTGCCATCTCTCAACCGCCCCCCTTCCTCCCTCCTCCATACCCCTCTCCATGGATGGAGCATTTGACGTAAGCAGAGACATAGGAAAGATACCAATTCACTATCAAAGCATCCTAGCCCCATCCCAGAACAATTAAAAAGCCAGATGGAATCTCTGGGAAATCGGCATTAATAACACGAACAATCTGTGCAGGCCGGCAGGGACCCAGGAGCCTCGGGCGGGGGCGGAGGGGGAGGGGAAGGGGGAGCAGGCAGAGGTGCTGGAGCATGAGCTCGCTGCGTTGTGGTCAGCCTGGGGGGATGAGGCCATCGCGGGGTCTGCCTAGGTCTGTCCTCCACTGGGCTTTCCCCCGCAGCCCCTGGAAGGCCCTCTGTGCATCCTGGATCCTGGTCGCTGCAGGCAGAGCCAAATAAATGTGGAACCCATTACTCAGGCAGCCGCAGCCTTGGCCAGCCCCATTCTGGCACCCAAGAGCTTTGCTTTCCTTTACTTTGTTTTTATTTATTACTTTTTTAGCCTTCTAGCCCCACCCACTGGGAACAGGCCTCCCTGGGTCTTAGCTTCTACAGTGCCCTTTCTCTTCATTCGCTGCGCCCAAGCCGTACCTGAGAACAGCAGAGGATGGTATTGGGGACACTGTGGGGCCTGCACCCTGAGGCTCCCATTGAATTTCAAGGTGGTGGGCGCTTGTGGCAAGACCAGCCGAGCTCTCTGAAGCCGGCATGATTGCTAGAGGAGCAGGGCCTGGCTGCCTTGAGGGGCCCACGGGGGCTCAGCCAAGACCACAGGAAAAGACTCTAGCTGTTCTGGGCCTTGTTCTAGGTAGAGCTGAGAAACCAGATTGTTCCATAGCCCCATTTTTCAGACCGTGGTCTGAAGGCCTGCCTGAGATGGACTT